TGAGTTGAGCAGATTTCTTCCTTAAAGATGGCTTACAGTTTGTAAGATAATGAATTTTTAGATAGGAGAAAATCCAAATTTAGTTTGCCGAATATTGAGTTTGTCTTATGTATTTAGAGATTATATCAAATACGCACAAACTCCTTGGGACCACTCATTGGCTGAGAGTCTGCCATTCTGGAAGGACGAACACCTACCACATTAGAAGTGGAAGATTTTCTGACAACTCTCTTGTCGTCCTTTCATATACGCAGTCTTACAGGGACCAGGCCGGTCTCTTGCAAACTTCTTATGAATTCTTGAAAGTCTTGTTGGCTGACTTTCTTCTTTGAGTGAATGTATTTAATATGGTGTTTGTCGTGTTGAAAATATCAAACATAAAGAGCCTTTATACGTTGGACAAACACCCTCGTCCATTCTGATTGGTGTAGTACAATAATGCCTCACCAATCTCTGACACGACAACTTTAAAGTTGTACCCCATTATAGATCCGGATGAGCGAACTCAGACAGGGACCAGGTCCCTTCATTTGTGAGGATCATCAAAACACCAAGAGTATAACATTTCCCACTTTTTAATAATAACACACAAATATACCTCACACTAAGTTTATCATTGATTTCACTGTCAGCAATCCTAATAACAAAGATCTTGTTCCTTATTAAATGTTTAAGTTTGTTAAGTCATCAAAACTTAATATCAGCTCTGAACTAAAAAAATCTTCCTATATAGTTTTTAGTAAGAAAGATGATATGCTTCAAAATATGTACATACTTAAAATCAAATTTAATTTATATTCTTTACTTTTAGATGTCTGCATTTTACATAAAAAATGGTGTTGCTCTATTTTCCAAACATCTGTATTCCTCTTAAATAAAATAGTTCAGATAAAGAACAAACAACTATTCTCCACATTTCTTTCTTGCATAAAAAAATAGTTCACTTTGAATCTAAATTCATTTTCCCTCTTCTTCCACAGGTACGTTGACTACACTAGAAAGAGTACAAAATGCAGCAATACGTAAATAGTGTAAATATCCAGTGCAAATAGTAAGAATACAGCTACAAATAAAATGATTGTCAACTATATATATTAAATCTCTATATACGTCTATGTGCATTTATCCTTCTTATATATGTCAATATGTGAACATCCACCTTATAAAAATATATTAAGCACGAGCCATATCTACCTAGTATTACAAACAAAGGACCAAAAAGTTACTAAACAACGAAGCTAAAAAAAAAGACCAAAAAATATGTGGCTATGGTGGGTGCGCACACAACCTAGCCTAGGAAATTTTAGCAAAATACTAACTATACTACATTTTTCTTCCATCCTAGTGTCACTTATAATATATACTAGAAAGATATGATCCATATTAAGTTTTTTTTAAAAAATTTTAACGTCGAATTGAACAAAAGAAATTTGATGAATCTAAGGTGTTATTTGTTATGCAAAATATTGATTTTTCTATATTTGATCAGTTAATGTGATTCACAATAATAATTGAGGAACATATATTAATTTATTTGATAGTACATACTAAGGGGAGCCTAGTTTACAAAAGAGATCAATGTCAAAAAAACATCTAAACTATTCACTTTTTTTAGTTTCATACCTTAACTATTGAGAGTGTGAGTTTCATACCTAAAGTATCACTTTTTTAGTTTGAGAAACATACCTCAGTGGTGTGTGTAATACACTCTCTCTCTTTATTTGAGAGGAAGTGATGGCGTGGTAAGAAAAATATTTTACATTTTATTTTATAAAGAAAATACTATCTTTTTATAATAGTTTTTAAATTTTTAATTTTAACTAATACTAACAACTTATTTAATTTTTGTCAAGGTTGAATGTTTTGTCCACGTGGAGTGCAATATGGAAATTCTTTAAAATAAAAGAGAGAGTGTATTACAATACCATGATGAGAGTGATATAAAGAGAGAAGTGTGTTTCTTAAACTAAAAAGTGATAGAGTTTAGGTATGAAACTCAAAAAAAGTATTATTTAGGCGTGTTTTTGACACTTAACCAAAAAATAGAGACCCGTTACACAAAAGAAGGTTGAGACTAAAGTAAATCACAATCACTTAAAATGATTAATAATCAAAATGAATAGAATTATGGTCAGTTTCAATCTTAATGTCACCTTCTATATTACATGTAAGAGATCTCAATCTTATGTATAAATATCTCAACCTTAACCTCAGGATGGAGCAAATTTTGTTATTTGTATATTATTGGCACCAACTATCTTACATAACTCAAGTTGATTAACAATACTTTTTTTTTTTTGAAATCTCAAAATAAACTCATGAAGTAAAATCATAAGAAATGTTAGACATTATCACCTTGAGAAACTTGGTCCTTTTATCATTCTACTTTCTTATATTGTTACTGAATAATTCTAATTGATTGCCTATGATGTAACCAAAGTATCATTAATAATGACATCACAAGAAACATAGTTAATCCAAGTCTTATGTACCCGCTATAATATGAATACAATTGAAATAAAGACAATAGAACAATAAATCAAATTGAGGTAATTAATAGAAACAAAAATAGATTAATGCCTATTGATTCTCCAAATTCGCGTGATAAAGACCTTTGAAGAACTGTGATGAAAAATAAGATTGATAGAAGAAATTTTGAGGTCATGTGTATTTAGATAAATTCACGTAGTTATTGTATTGGTCAGAATACCATAGGTACAAAACTTGTGAGTTCTTGTTCTGACTCCTTTAAAAGTCAAACCACGTGTCTACTACAAATTGATGTAAGAAACGTATGCAATCCATAAATACACATTAGTTTGACAAGTAAAATTATCAAAATGCCCTTAGTTAAAAATAAATTGAAAAAAAAAGACATGTTGAAAAATAAAAATTGTCTCTTCTAATATAGATTGATAAATATACACCCTCTATGCTTGTGTCACGTGACATTCCTTTCCGCTTCCTAAATTTTCCCTGTTCACAAGAAACATATGATCACTAGAAGTTATAAAATTTTAATAGTCTTCTTATACATACAACTGAAAATTTTTAGAGAAGTTCTATATGTTATATGTATACCGCGATTTTCTATGAAGTTTCAATATCATAAAAGAGGGTGAATCGATATTTAGAATTAGAGATTTTGATAAATGTTACAAATCCTCTCAAATATATGTAATAACATTTAGTGACGTTTATAAATGCATGTGACACTTGATTGTGAAATTATCACAACCCACCTCTAGAATTGGTGATGAGTCAGAGATTTTGGACTAGTTCAATATTCTAGTTCACAAAAGTATGTCCTCCTTGTCCATTTATGTCCTTTACTCATAAAAATGTATTTGTATTTCAATTATAAAAGAATAAGGATGGCATGGAGCTAAAAGAGAGAGAAAGAAGCCAAAAGCATAAAAAAAAATAGGGAGAAGGAGACGATAAGGATTGCCAAAGTTGATTCGGTGCGTCGCCGAATTGAATAAATGTTGTCAACTGTTATACTTTTAAAACCCCCAACTTCATATCAAGTTGGCGATGAAGATGAAAAATCTGTTGAGATTGCCAAAAGTGACAGACACTTGAAAGGTAACTCAGACTGGGTAAGCTAAATTGACGATGGAAATGACAATTTGGTGTATCACCGATCAATTTAGAGGCCTCGACTATGCTCACTGATTATACCCTAAGCAGGAATTCTGTGAACATATAAATAGATCTTTCAATAGAGAAAATGTAACCTTTATTTTTATTTTTTGAGTACTCTAAAAACCGTTTCTATTCAGGAAGAACTTGTACGAAGATTTGAGAGAAGCTTCTTGAGATTGAAGGTCTTCAGGATTTGATTTTTAGGATTTCAGTTCAGGTAGCAATGATAAGTAATAATTTTGGTATTATTCTCTTACCTTTTATCATGAGTAGCTAAATCTCCTTATTCTTGAGGGTGTGCACTGTATGGATGATTAATTAACAATTAGTTGTTGTTTAATTACTCATTAAATGTTAATTTGATATTGGTTCAATTGTCTCTTTATGTTTTCATCTATAATTTGGTGGCGCAGACTCTTATTTATTTTGGATTTCTAACATTTCTTGTGAAAGATCTTTAGAGTGTAAAGAGTTGATTGATAATGAGTCAATTAACTTATTTTGATAGATGAAGAATGAAATAAGCTTGGTTGAATTAAATTCATAGATTGATTTTAGTTTTATACATATTAGGGTTTAATAAAACACACATGATTAATAAGTAGTTATCATTACCTTAAATCTAGCTTACACATTGACAATCAACTCCTTTATTGAAAAATTATAGTCCATACAAGCACACTCCTAAGAGTCTCCAATTTCGTGTGATAAATAGATGTTTTAAGCTTTGTGATTGAGAACTTGTTTCAATCATCAAACGTTCTGAATTCGTATCTTAATTGTTACTTAATCCTCCCCCTTCCCCCCTCCCCCTAATTTACTTTCATGCATAAATTATGTCTACCCCAACTCACTGTTGGATTTTAGAAATTTTCATATTAAGAGACTTTGTTGGACTAGTATTTTATTGTTGTTTACTAATACGTATTTCTTGTTATTTTTAAATCTATAGGTGACTACATGAGTTCTCAAAGGAGTCATACTATCAATTATGATGAGCAGTTTACTGATGAGGATCAATTGAGAGATGCGGGTCGAGCTAGCACCATATGTCTACCACCAACCATGGGAAACACCGCCTTTCATATCAACAGACCTATGTTACATTTAATTTCTTTAAATGAAATGACTCTATGGAGGAAAAGATCACGAAGATCCACACAATCATCTCAAAAACTTTATTGATATGTGTTGTTCTTTAACTTTGAAAACATAAGGCAAGAATCGAATCATATGAGGTTATTTTCTTTCTCACTCACGGGAGAGTTTACAACTTGGTTGGCTGAGTTTACGGATGGATCTATCACATCTTGTATTACATGTATATTCTTCCCACCTTCTCGAATGTTGCAACTCTCAGATGTGATAACAAACTTTCATCAAAATGTTGGTGAACCTCTTCATGAGGCTTGATTGCATTTTCGGAAATAGATACTCGAGTGTCCAATTTATGGTTTTCCAGATGCATTACTTTTGAAAGTTTTCTATAAGGTAATAGATCAAATAAACAAAAATATTGCCAATAATATTGTCGGCGGTACTACCATGACTCAAACTTTTGGTCTGATCACATTTGTTTTTCTTGATTGGATGGCGAAGACAAATCGAGTTTGGCATACTAGAGAGGTCAAAGTAGCAAAGGGTGTTGCTTCCTCTTCGTCTATTACCAATGAACAAAGGTTGAAGGATAAAGAGAGCGATGAAAACATTGGCAGGATGATAACACAAATGAACCTCTTGACTAAACATGTGACGAGAGGTGGTTCAAAAAGTGTGAATGCAGTAGAAAACAAGTGGAAGTAAAAGTTATTAAGTTGATAAATTTGAGGCGAAGTTTTTTTTCAATCAAACCAAGTGTGTGGGGAGGGGAGGGGTTCTTTTCCTACATTCCAAAGGGTTGTTTTAATTTATTATTTTGTTCCTGCTAGATTATTAAGGTGTATAGTTAGAATTTTTGATATTGTTATGTTCTTATAAACCTTAACTATCATTTATTTCCTTGCTTTTCATTATGCATTTTCTTTTCAAGATCAATTAGCCTATGATGCCTACTGGGTGCCTGCTATTTTGGTACTCATGTTACATTTTGAATCTATTTTTCCTAATGCAGATCCGAGCGCCAACTTACAATGATAAATTTTATAATGCAATAGGGGCTTTCAAATATAGAGGTTGACCTGATGGCATCCTAATTTGACTCATCACCGTCTGTACATAGTTTTTTCTAGTCTTTTGTATCCAAGACAAATTTGTACTTGTTTTGTTTTTTTGCAGATTGTACTCATTTTAGTAGCTTTGTACCTTCACACTAGGTTGTGCATTGGATTTGTATCTTTGCATATATCTATGTCATTTCATTGTTTCTATTATTTATTCCTTTTTATTGTTTTTGTCTTCTTGTCGTTTGTTGATTCTTCCCAAAATGCATGTTACTTGTCGTTGTGGATATGATATGGCTTAACTATCGGTTGGTTTTGGTAGTTGTCATCATGACTTAAGTTTTTGGGTCATAACCTGAACACTTTTTTCAGAGACTTTATACTTTTCTTATTTTTATTATGTTTAGATATTTTGTAGTTTGTTAGATAAATTTATTGTAAATAGCTCAATTTTGTAATTTAGATGTTGTTTTAACGATGTTTAGCTTTTGTGTGTGTGTGTGTGTGTGTGTGTGTGTGTGTATGTATGTATGTGTGTGTATATATATATATACACACACATACATACATACATATATATATGTATGTATGTATGTATGTGTGTGTGTGTGTGTGTGTATATATATATATATATAGAGAGAGAGAGAGAGAGTCATATTTAATAGTCTTTCTGGGTTTCTTTTCCGACCTTGTAGTATATTTGAAAATATTTGCCATATTTCATTGTTGGGGGGGCATTCTTATGTTCTCATTTCTTCAACATTTATTATTTCAAGATATCGCTAATAGTCTAAGGTTTTTGCTTGCCTAATAGGGGTTATGAGAAGGTGCCATTATAATTCGATTTCATATCCTGACATAAAAACATGAAAAATACAGGCAAAAACTACCTTTAAAAGTTATAAATTAAATTGTGTATCCCATTTATGACTTCTAAGTAGTTAATCTTATCAATTGAATAAAAAATGTTCTTATTGGTAAAAAAAATATCATCTAATTTAGTGGTATCTTGACTTTGTTTTAGACTTTGATGAGTAGAATTCACTAGATCATATTGCTTTCAATTTAGTAGTATCATCTAATTTAGTGGAAAACTTTCATCCTTGGTGGCTACTATTTATTTTTTTTATTAAGGATTTTTTTTGTAGAACTGAAAAGTGAATTGCTGTGGAATCAAAGATTCTCAATCCTAATTTCAAATTTCTCAGTTTTCAGTGAAAATTTTCTACAATTCATATTAATTACTGAAAGTACTTTTATTAGTATTTCTAGTTTTTTCTCAAATAATTAATATATTTTATTTATTCATTCAAAAAATCTATATAATTCGTTTTCTCCCATATCATACTCTTTCTTTTCAAATGTTCTCCTTCTCGTTTCTCACCACCTGTAAGACAAAACCATCGCCGGCATAATTCTTGCTGGAAAGTATGGTCAGTACAGATCTGTACCAGATCTGGCCAATAAAGATCAAATTGAGCAACGTCCAACTATTTCTAGCGTCTTCCAGTGATTTTGGGGGATCTCCAGGAATCTGACAACATACACTCCAATAAATACCAGATATGGAAACATCCATCCAATTCTGGCGTCTTCCAACAATTTTGGTGACTTGTGATAACATCCAACAATTTCGATGACTTCCAAATTTAGGTTTGTTGCTATTTTTAAACCTCTTGGTACTACCAAGTGTAACTCAATGTTCTCTTGATCTTTGTCTTTGTAGAATGTATCAGCGACTCTATGCATTAACCTACATTTATCCTATTTGGAATTCAGATGCATATTTGTTATTGAATGCCTGTGAATGTCAGAATCTTCCATTGAATTGTTTCCATAGTATGAAATGAGTACAACTGGTGCTACTTTATCATTGTGTATTTACATAATTCTGTATTTCTTCTTGTCAGCTTAGTTTAGCCTTAGTGGCCCTAGTAAGAGATGATAAAATATGGTCTTATCAAAGGTTGGGGTCAGGGTCGGGAATGTGATTAAGGGGGATTCAAGGTTGATATTAGGGTCTTAAAACATAGGGAATTTTTTCATGAAGTCCTTTGAGTTAGTGAAAATCCTGAAGAAGAGGAAGATCAATATAGCTTACATTCAAGAGACTAGATGGATAGGTTCTAAAGCTTGGGATGTGGATGGGTTCATACTTGGTTACTCAAGAAGTCTGAGGCCTATAGGGAGCAAGTGGTAGATTTCAGAGGATAAAAAATAGATTTTTGGAGATCAAGCTAGTCATTTGAGGGCTAATATTGATGTAGTTAGTGCATATGCTCCACATTCAGTCTTAGACAAAGAGGTAAATACATGTTTTTGGGAAGGATTGGATGAGATTTTGGGAGGGTTTTTTGAATCATCGAGAAGGTTTTCATTGCCAGAGATTTCAATATACACATTGGTATCTCCTAGTGGTTTTGATGATGTATGGATGCATTGGTTTTAGGCCTAGTAACTATGGTAGAACCTCGCTCATGGATTTTGCTAGAGCTTTTCAGTTGGTGATAGCTAAGTTGTGTATCAAAGAAGGTTGAACACTTGCTTACCTTTCGTAATGTGCTGGTTAATTCACATATCTATTGCTTGCTTATAGGGAAAGTCAATAGAGAACTTCATATAGATTGTGAAGTTATTTTGGGTGAAAATATTACTTCTCAACATAAGCTTTTGGTTATGGACATGGAGATTCAGCAATAAAAAATAAAGAAGAAGTTATATGTAAGGCATATGAATAAATAGGGGAGGGGGTTTGTCTGTAGGATAAAATAGCAAGCTAGTTGTAATAGGTAAAAGTTAGAGTGGTGTTTGGGGTGTTAAAGGGTAACTTTGGTGGACACCGAGGGTATTGATTGTGGAATGGAGAAGTTACAAAGTTGAAGCCAAAAATGGTTAAATGCGAGTCAACGACATGGATGAGGAAAAAAAGTGGGCAAATTGAGAAATATGTATAGTGGAAAGGACAAAGGCTAAGTAATCAGTTCCTATAGCTAAGAAAAAATCTTTGTAAAGATGGTATGTTAAACTAGGAGACAAAGGTGGAGATAAAAATTTCTACATGTTTACGAAGGAAAGTGATAGAAGGCTTGAGACTTGACTTGGATCAAGTGAAGTATATCAAGGATGAAGAAGGCAAGGTTCTAATAAAGGAGATCCTTATTAAGAAATTATGGCTATCATACTTTCATAAATATTGAATAAACACGGTGACGAACATATTGTGTTGGGTGATTTGGAGATTTATAAGAGACATTTTGTGTTTATGGGTATTGTAGGCTTATTAAAGTTGAAGCGGTGAAATTTGATATTACTAGGATGACCAACTGTAAAGAGAGAGGTGAAATGTGATATAAGTAGGAGTACCAATGGTAAAGAGACAAGTCCATATGATATCCCAATAGAGTTTTGGAAGAGCATGGATAGATAGGTTAGGAATGGTTGACTAGCTTGTTCAATGTCTTTTTAAGACGGCTAAGATGCTCGATGAAAGGAGGTAAATTACAATGGTTCCATTGTAAAAGAAAAATTATGATATAAGAAATTACAACATATATAGGGATATAAAATTGTTAAGTCACATTACGAATGTATGGGAGAGATTAAGATGAGTGTCAGAAAGGGTGACTCTATCTCCAAGAATCATTTTGTAATCCTGACCAGGCGTTCGACCATAGAATCCACCCATATTGTAAGGAGGTTGATGAAAAAATATATATCAAGAAAAGAAGAGAGACTTATATATGGTGTTTATTGACCTTGAGATTGCCTATGATAAAGTACCGAGATACGTCTTGTGATTTCTTGAGAGAAGAAGTGTGTTGATGCCTTAATTTATAATGTTAAAGGATACATATGAAAAATATAAATAAGGGTAAAAATGATTGGAGGAAAATCAACGCACTTTTGTGTGGAGATAGGGTTACATAAGGGATCAACTCTTAGTACATGTTTTTTACCTTAATGATGGATTTATTGATGTAAGACCTTACAAATGAGGTTCCATGGTGTAAGTTTGGATTGCATAGTACTAAGTGGTGAGACACACAATGTAGTTAATTATAAGTTAGAGGTGTGCATGGACACTAAATTTGGAGACTAAAGGGTTCAAGTCGAGTAGGGCAAGTACAGAATATTTAGAGAGAAAATTCAATAAGTGATGCTTGAGGTAGGTATGGAAGTGAGACTTGACATACGAAAAATCCTCATGAGAGATAGTCAAGTATCTGGAGTCTGTAATCCATGGGAGAGGTGATATCAATGATAATATCACATAACATATTAATATGGTGTGGATGAAA